CAGTACCATAAGAAGTTTCATAAATGTTTTGAGCATCAGTAGGCTTGGCGTGGTGGCAAACATCCTTGGTACAAGTGACAGTAATGAGTTCGGTGTTGTAGTTAGTGGTGAAAGTAGTGGCACCTTCGGAGGCAGATGGGACAGCAGAAGAAGAAACGTTACCGTAGAATGAACTTGAACTCAAGACATCGGAGGTGGTAGCAGCAGTGGATAATTTAGTGGAAGTAGCAGAAGAAGAAGGAGAAGAAGCAGAAGAAGCAGAAGCAGAAGAAGCAGAAGCAGAAGAAGCAGAAGCAGAAGCAGAAGCAGAAGTAACAGAAGAAGAAGAAGAAGAAGAAGAAGAAGAAGAAGAAGAAGAAGAAGCAAAAGTAGCAGAAGAAGAAGAAGAAGAAGAAGAAGAAGAAGCAAAAGCAGCAGAAGAAGAAGAAGTACAAGGATCAGCTTCGTTCAACAAGTTCTTTAACTGAACAGCGTAGTTGTCACCGTTTGAGTCAACATTGGACCAAGCGGACGAAGCACCCATGATAGCAAAACCACCAAAATTAGGACCACAATGAATACCAGACAAGTACTTGTTAACAGTAGCAGAAGGAGTGTAACCAGGAGCCGCGGCTTCGGAACCTGGCAAGCCAAGGAACAATTGGATGTCCTTGTTAGGAGAGACGTTAGCGGCGTATGTAGCCCAGGAATTCCAGTTAAAGTTTGGACCCAAACTACAGGACTTGTTGTAGAATTGGATGAAAGAGTAATCGAGTGCAACAGAAGTCAATAATTGGTTAAGAGTGGCATCAGGGTAAGGACATTGTGGAGCAGCACCAAGGTAGTACTTCTTAGAAACGGTAGCAAAGTAAGACTTCAAACCTTCAGCCAAAGCAACGTAACCAGTTTCAGCACCATGTTCGATATCGAAATTAAAACCATCAACAACAGCATCATTGAATGGTCTTTCTTCATCGGTAGAACCACCACCAAACATATTCCACAAGGTGGTGGCAAATTCAGAACCTTCAGCTTCAGAAGAGAAACTATAGGCGCCATAAGGACCACCCAAAGAGAGCATAACCTTCTTACCCTTAGATTGACAGTACTTAATGTCTTCACCAATCTGTGGACAATACAACGAATCACTGGTGGTAGGGACACAGTAGTCAGAGAAGGTAGCATAAAGATTTGGGATTTCGTTAATGAAGGAAACAAGAACGATATCAACACTAGTGCTATTACAGTAAGTAGATAATCTTTCTTGTCCACCACCACCGCTGAAGGCAGTTGATGTTGGATCTGGATCAAAAGCGGAGTTTTGACCCCAGTAAAGTGCCACTTCAGAAGCACCAACAAAGGCAGAAGCCATATATAAGAATAATGCTTTGGCCAACATAGTTAATTGAAAAGGGGAATGTATTTTGTAGGGTATGTTAACGAATGAAGTTTGGTTTCAACGAATGAAGATAAAATACATTAGAATCCTATTTGGAAAGCAAATACATAATTTCTTCTTCCACTATGGGTACATGCTAGCTTATATACATGTTTTTGATACTCACTCCACTTGTTTGGGTTGCTGAATATATGGGCTCACCTTTTGCATCCATTGTTTATTGTTATTTACTTAATTAATGCTTTGTATTGTTTGGTCGCTATGTATTGTTGGTTATTTGGTGTACTTAGGTCGTGTATATTCGATATTTGGGTGGTGATAATTGAATGGACCTTGAGTATGACTGGCTCTGGTGGTAGTTGTTTTAGTTAGAATGAATTGCCGTAGTACTTTCCTAAGTGCAACTTGGTTTATTATGCACTTTTATATTCAGATTATGTATTCTTATATACTTAAAATCTCGGTGGATTCTAAGACTATACATTTCTATATATGGATGAGGTATATCTCAATTTATATTCCAACTTTACTCATTCTTCTTCGCATTTTATCCCCTATGTTTCACTCTCCTTGCTTTCAACCTCCTTAATTATCACCACTTTGTCTTATCTGGTTCTTATCCTTGCGTCCTTTGTATGTATCAGAAATTCGCACCCTTTGCAACCATCTATCAATTTCTGAAACAACTTTGGGAATGATTTCTCACGACCTCACCTGTATATGACGTTTAATCAATATTGTTACTTGATGGGTAACGGAGCGAAATTGTCGTGGGGGGATCAATATCCATGGAAAAAGACTGTAATCTTTGGACACAAGCTTAATGAAAGAGGATGTCAGTCAAGAATTAGTTAAATATGTCATAAGTATGCCTTAAGTTAAAGTCAACTCTATATTTAGTTATTTTTTCTTCAATGCTTAAGATTCTTGATAGATTCTAGTTTCTTAGTTTCTTAAGAATGGGTTCATATCCAGCCAGGTTATATTCCACTTCACTTGTCACCATTTTCTACACTCTACTAATCAACCCCATCGATTTTGATCCCACAGGTAACAATGGTTAACGCATTTTCATTCTTCTTTCTTTTAAGTTGTCTGTTACCAGTATCATTTACATATTGACCCCAAGTTTGAGTCTTATGATGGCTCAGATCTGGCACTTTTGCAGCCAAACTTCCTTATCAGGTAACGTCAAAGAAAAATTATCGGGTAATTTTTCTTTGACGTTTGCAAGCAAGCTGTCTTTCTACCACCTCACTTGCGTATAACGATAGATCAACCCAAGAAATTACTACTAGTTTTTTAGTATAAAGATTCTATCCAAGAGAAAATATAACATGTACTTTAGTATTCTAAAATAATTTCAAACACAATGCCGTTGTGTGTGAAACATTCATTAACTCAACTCCTTTTTTCATTTTCTCGTTTTCTCATTTTTATTTATTTTTAATATTTCATTAATTTATTTTGCATTCACAAAATTTAATGTTTCTTCTACCTTGATTCAAATCGAATGTTTTTCTCTCAACTTTTTAATAGACTATACTATTGTTATGCTTGAAAATAATTTCTTTTTTCTTAACTACAAAATGAGCCTTCTGCAACTACAAATCCAACTAATCAATAATTAAAATAATATAATTCATCAAAATGGTATAAAATTGAGTTTTGCGTCATTCTTTTCTTTTGCTGTTTTAACTTGTTGTTTGTACTTTGAAAGTAGTACTGAAATATTATAAGCTTGAAAACTAATGGCTTTGCTTTAGCTTATAAATAATCTAGAACCACTAATAATTGAAGGGGAAATTATAGACTATTCGTTATGTATTGAGTTTTTTTCTCACCTCTTCAAGTTATTGAACTTAGGTATTTAAACCATTACTATAGAGGTACGTTTTATTGACTTCTATTAGCTATTAATTCTATAGTAATTAAAAGAATTCTCTACGCCTTTTCACAAAAGTTTCCTTTTTAATTGTATGCGAGATATCCGCACCCTCTTGTAAAAAAGTAACATGATGTCTATATACACGGGAGCTATTCGATATGTTTATGTAGCTTAAAGGTGGACTTGTCTAATCCACGTATTTTAAGCTTTTCTTATTGTTGAAATTAAGCGTTCATCTTTTTTTTTAGTTTCAAAAGGGTAAATTAAGTATACAGAAATATAATCATAGCAGGGCTAAAAAAAATACTAACATTATATAAAAGTCATAATAATCACATCAAAATAAATAATAAAAGTATCTATTCATTTTTCTATATAATTTAATAATTATAGATCATAAGAATAACTCCTGAAGATAATATTACTTGAATTATTGTGATTTAGTTCGACGATTGTCTTATTTATATTATATAATTCTTTCTATATACTTAACCATTGTATCGTAGCTGTGAATGTTATATGAGGAAAAATTGATCCAACATTTGTAAGCTTCAAGAAATAGTTTAGTCCAATTAAGCCTTTTAAAAGTACAATATTTTTAACATAAAGTGATATTTGGGCCTCATGATTAAATTATTATTCAAGTATTCATATATACAAATTGTTGAAGCTTCATTGTATGAGCAGACGGAGAAAATGTGGAAGTCCTGTGAGTCAACCTAATCCCTTCGTAGAGTTAGCTGCACCTTCATAAGTCAGAACAAATACATAAGGACTAACTAGAAGCTTGAGCGCTATTAGCAGATGAACTCAAAGTAGTAGTAGGCTCTGTTCCACCTCCGTTGACTCCAGAAAACCAGACCCAGACAGAGAGCCGGCAACCCACCCCGTTATCGTTTTCGAAGGGATCAGTAGGCTCTATATAGGTAGGAGGTGAGAACAGAATGCGTATTAATTTTCGCAGATTATAAGTAAAAGTTCGTTGTTTATGCAAAAAGTTATTAACGACACTATTTGACGACATTTTTAAAGAACTTGCGATTGTGTCAAAAAGGTTGTGAGTAATGACGCAATTGAATAGTCTGTTGATTTCTCACGTATAATGGATATGACTAATATTGTTGAAATCGTGGAAGATCAATTCCTTCAAGAAGATTAGACATTACTCTATATAAGGTCTGAAACAGAAGAAGAGGTTGAAATGAAGTATAAATTGAGGATGTGTAGCCCGTATCTAAAAATAGAATTTAAGATATCAACTAAATACCAATTAAAGCCGACTAGTTGCCGATACCTAGTAAAAAATACGAGGTATTATATTTTGTGAGATACAAACTATAACTTGAACGTTGATTATCAAACCTTAGATGAGTATTTGATAACAATGGCTGGTAATTGGAACGCCATGCACAGTCACAAACATGTAAAATCTTTATTAGACACTTACACTCAAATTATGGGCAATCATTCGATTAAAAGATTAAGAATGTACATGTTGAGAGAGCTGACATTAGGCTTTAAGTCTAAGCAAGGAAGTAGTTAGCGGATACTTTATCTGTTAGAGGTTTGGTTTCATTAATCAAATATGTGGGCAATTTGATGATGGTAATGGCATCAAAGGGAGGCATGTTAACACAGATACCACAAGTAGTACAAAGGGTTTCTGAGAGTGCGGGGCTCTTGTGTTTTAGGGTTTCGGTGTGCGGGGCTCTTGTGTTTTAGGGTTTCGGTGTGCGGGGCTCTTGTGTTTTAGGGTTTCGGTGTGCGGGGCTCTTGTGTTTTAGGGTTTCGGTGTGCGGGGCTCTTGTGTTTTAGGGTTTCGGTGTG